AATCTTCTCTCAGCGTCTTTCTACACTTCTCTGCGTTTCACTGGATTTAGCAGCCCTCCAAATTACAGATCTTAGTTTCATCAAAGATGGACTCTATTTTTTATTTTCCTTAATTGCTCTGAGTTAATTCCAAGAAAACAAGGAACTGACATTGTTACACTGCCACTTTAAAATGAGAAGGAAGCAATTTGAGGAGATTAACTATACTACTAGAAACAGTCTACCCACAATTGGGAGCAGGAACATTGTAAATGAACTACGGGTATAAAAACTTCAAAAACACTAAATTATATAACCATAATTATTTACACAACAATTGTAAAAGTTTTTTGAAAATATATAACTATATATGGAAAAAGCATGTGATGTAACATCAGATAAAGCAGATTAGAAAAACTATGTTAGGGTCATAAATAAGTAAAATATATAGGTATGTAGTGCAAAAAAATGGAAGGATAAAATGAAAACTGCTTTTTGGTAATGAATACTGAATGATGCTTTTCATTTAAAAATTTTTGTCACAGTATAGTTTGCATAATAAAAAAGCAGAATACATGTTCAAAACAAAAAGAATCAAGACCATATAGATTTTTACTATATCTACTAAACACAAATCATACAAAAAGCACTGATTGGCTCTCCCCTTGCCAGTACTAACTATATCCTATCCCCAAAGGCGAGCTCCGAAAGTCGCATCCTTCTGCTCTAGCTGCAATCCAGAACTTTCACAGCAGCCAGGTGCCTCCCCTTGTCCGCCTACGCCACCCCCTCAACCCCAGAGGCTGACTCTACTCAAAACAGATTGAAAGCTACTTAGTGCTGCTGATGTGCCGGGCACCACAGCAAGCAGGAACATGGGCTTTGCCCGTTTAGATTTTGTTTATAATGAAGAGCAACGAAAAAGCAGATTGCATTTAAAGGACAATTTGAAGTGTTTGGGCTCTGGAGACAGTCAGATTAAATAGAATACGTATGAAATGTACCCAAAATATAATAGTTCCAGGCACACAGCTGACACTCAATAAAGGGTATTTTTAAAAATCTCTAATACTTGCAATTTCCTAGCAAGGGAAATGTAACAGAATGGTTAATACAATAGGAAAATAACTTTTTAGCTTAAAAAATATGCTCAGGAAGGATACTACACACAGATTTTCTAAGACCATCTGAAAACAATATCCTTTTCTTTATCTTCCAAGTTGTTGCTTTTGGGTCGCCACTTCTCACATACGAACACTGCAACAAACATTTAAAAAATCATTCTGGGCCGGGCGCAGTGGCTCGCGCCTGTAATCCTAGCACTCTGGGAGGCCGAGGAGGGCGGATTGTTTGAGCTCAGGAGTTTGAAACCAGCCTGAGCAAGAGTGAGACCCCGTCTCTACTAAAAATAGAAAGAAATTAATCGGACAACTAGAAATATATAGAAAAAATTAGCTGGGCATGGTGGCACATGCCTGTAGTCCCAGCTACTTGGGAGGCTGAGGCAGAAGGATCGCTTGAGCCCAGGAGTTCGAGGTTGCTGTGAGCTAGGCTGACGCCACGGCACTCACTCTAGCCCGGGCAACAAAAGCGAGACTCTGTCTCGGGGGGGAAAAAAAAAAAAAAAAAAAATCATTCTGAATGCATAAACTCAATGTATGACTTGTCCATTTTATAAGCAGTATTTTTACTCTCGAAATAATTACAACTAATTCAAAGTATTCAAAATAAAATCAAAGTATTTTCATTAGCGTACCGATTTAGATGAGAATAAGGCATAACCTACAAATACAAAAGGAAAATAGATTCAACCTTCTCAAATAATTCCCCAATATAAAAATGGCATAAATTATAGCAGTAAATTTATGAAGGCATATGTACTCCAAGAATGAGTTTTTCCTTTGGCTAAATAAGGTCTTTAATCAGTAATGGTTATAATTCTTAGTTGCTTATTGACAGAAAATGTATACGCATTTTAAAATTAAAGTTCAGATTAATAAAAATAAAATAAAATTTAAAATTTAGCACCTGAGTCGTACTACCCACAGTTCAAATGGGCTATGCAGATATAGAACATTTCCTTTATCGCAGAGAGCTGATGTGGAGAATCTAAGCTAAAAAATAAACCAAATGCCTGTGCAGAGGTATTAGCAGGTCTGAGAAACAGTTACAACATCGGAGGATTCCTCTTGTGATACAGAAAAAAAAAAAGTGTACACTATGAGCTACTGCTTGAATAAAGAGAAAAAATGCAGTAAGACTCTGAGCTCAAAGGTAAGTTTCAGGAGCCCAGGGTGGCGGTGGGTGGGGAGAAACCCGTTAGAGGAGGGGCCTGTTTTGTAGCTTCCCAGGTGGTATCTCAGGAACAGACAGAAACTAGCCTAGGCTCCCTTTCTTTTCTCATTCTACACACTCCTGAAACAATCTCACCCACACATCAGCAAGACTGCAATAGGAAAATGCCCATTTCCAACACAGATGGAACTCCTGCCTTCAGACCCTAAGTCCAGCCTCCTGTATTCCGTATCTCTACTCGGGGAGCTTTAAAAGTGCCTCGCAACATAGCCAAAGGTGACCTCATCATTTCCTGCCTTGCCTCCAGGATAATAAAGAATTTGGCTGGCCTCTGTCCCTGCTTCCTGGGAGGTAACCTCTAAGCTCTAGGAATACAGAATTTGGCTGCTCTTTGTCCCAGTTCCTGGAAGGTAGCCTCTAACTCCTTGGAACGCCTGAGTGGTAAGAGTGTCCTCATTGTTCAGGCTGGGTTCCTGAGGCCAAGTCTGACTACTTGTGCTGACAGGTGACAGGGTGAGCCATAGTTTGTGCTGAGGAGATGAGTCAGGACTGTGGCTGGCCATGCCAGTAAGACCAACCACATGCCCAGAGGGTTGGGGCTTTGAGCCACGTGATACCAGCCCAACCTCTGGGGAGCGGAGGGGGCTGGAGATGGAGTTCAACCTTGTGGCCAATGATTCAATCTCACGCCTACATAATGAAGTCCCAGTGAAAGCTGGACACTGGAGGTCAGGTGAGCTTCCTTGGTTGGCACAGTCGACGTACTGTCACACACTGATGTGCCAGGAGGGTACCGGGGCCTGACTCCACAGGGAAAGGAGAATGAAAATTTTGCATTTGGGACCCTCTCAGACCCCACCCAACGTGTCTTTCCCTTTGACTGGTTCAGATTTGTATCCCTGTGCCCTAATAAAACCGTAATCCTAAGTATAGCACTTTCCTGAGTTCTGCGGGTTGCTCTAGTGAATTATTGAACCTGAGTGGGTTGTGGGAACCTGAGAATTTGTAGCCAGCTGGTCAGAAGTGAGGGGGTTGCCTGGGGAACCCCCAAACTTGCAACCAGTATGTGAAGTAAGGACATTTTTGTAGAGGACTGTCCCTCAACCTAGGAAGTTTGGCCTAACTCTGGGTAGCTGGTGTCACAAGTCACTGAACCTTCCAGATCTCCCCCTCCCATGGAGTTCACTGTCCTAGTAAATGGCACGTCCATCCATCTATCCAGCTGCTAAATGGGACAAAGATCGTTGCTGACAATTCTCCCCTCTCAATCGCCTTCCACACGATCAATCAATACATCCCCCCAAGTCTATGTCCTAAATAGCTCTGACTCTGTTCACCTCTCGCCAACTCCTGTGCAGCCTACAAAGCCCTGTGGGATGTGATCATCTCCTCTATCGAACCATTCTTGACATTGCTCATAAATTCTGGTCACATGTGCCTTCTGATAACTAACTTACCAAGTTTATTTTAACCTTAGAGTCTTTCACTTGCTGCTCCCTCTGCTTAGAATGTTCTCACAGATCTTAGCCTGGCTAGTTCCTTCTAGTCACCCAAGTCTTGGTTTACATGTCGTATCCTCAGAGTGCCCTGTTTCACTTCCCAGTTCCAAATAGCCTTCTAGTGACTGCCTCGTCATCCTGTTTGATTTTCACCATAGTGTTTATTTTCGCTTTGTTTCTGATTTTTCCCTCCCAGAATTAAGCTCCACATCATATTTAATGCTGTATTCCCAGGGCCTAGAACAGTATTCTGGCACACATAAGATATTTATTTATTGAATATCTGAATTAAATATTCAGATATTACTGCACCTGTTTTGTGGGTAACATCAAATTAAACACCGTGGTGAGGCCGGGCACAGTGGCTCACACCTGTAATCCTAGCTCTCTGGGAGGCCAAGGTGGGAGGATCACTTCAGGTCAGGAGTTTGAGACCAGTCTGAGCAAGAGCGAGACCCCGTCTCTACTAAAATTAGAAAAATTAGCCAGGCATGGTGTTGTCTGCCTGTAGTCCCAGCTACTTGGGAGGCTGAGGCAGGGGGATTGCTTGAGCCCAGGAGTTTGAGGTTGCCGTGAGCTAGGCTCACGTCACAGCACTCTACCTAGGGTGACAGAGCGAAAATCTGTCTCCAAAAAATAGTCACAGACCCTCTTGAAAATCTGATGAAAATTGTGGCTCCTTTCCCCACAAAAACTGTGGCTTCCCTACCCCCAAAAATCATTTATATAATATTAGAAGAGTATAAACATGTTGAGGTCCCTCTATTAGCCAGATTAAGATTCCACAGTTTATAGCAGGGGCTTTTGATTTTTTTCTCTATTGCCACAGGAAAAAAAATACATTTTATACTGTCATCCAATTTTATATACACATAAAAGTTTCACAAAACATTTCTCAACCTTACTATATGTGACAGTATCCTCTTCTATTTTATTTCATCAGAATAAATGTTACTCATGATCTACTGCATTAATTTCACAATCCATAATTTGAAAAATATGAGTAACTGTTACATAAATGAAGTTTATGAAAAAGGGAAAACTCACTTCATTATAAACATTTCGACGTTACTTTAAAATAATAAAAGTCTCTTCACTCTATAGTCAAATCTTTCAAGAGACTGAATTTTTTATGGCAAAATTGAGTTGTCTTAGTCATTTATCTACATGGTTAACTACTAGAGACACTGACGAATAAATCACACAATGGTAATAGAAACCCCATACCTTAATATTAGAAAACCATAAATCATTTTCATGTAAAGTGGCAAGGTAGACAGACGTAAGTAGTCCAATGCAAAGAGCAATGGTTCCGCCAACTGTCAATGACAGAATCGTCCATAATCTTCTATTGGTACAACCTTTTAGAAAAATGAAACAAAGTCAGGAAAAACTTTAGAATTTAATAGTTCTACTTCAGACTATCAAGTAAGCTAAGTTCTAGCTCCCTGTCATTAGTGAAGCTTTCCCTGTCCCCAGCAGAGGCTCCTTTCTGTGATTCCACAGACCTGTTTCCACCCTTTTATTACAGTTTTTATCTCACTGTATCTAACTGTTCACATGTCCATTTTTCCAACTAGAATGTGAACTTCTTGAAGACAACTGTGTTATCTTATTCACCTTTAATTGGTAGGGCCTATGTCTGGCATGGTTTTAACAACCATAGTTTAACTATGAAGTTTGTTAAATGGAGGAAATAAATTGGTTACATCCCTAGGATGTAATCAATCTTTTAGATGATCTACTTACAATTTGTGGCTTATTCATTAAAAACTACCAAAAAACTTAATACTTAAAATAAAAACAGGAATAAATAATCCATTATAGCTCAATTAAAGAACACATAAACTAGGAAAAATATTTATAGCACACGTAAGAGAGCTTAAATATCCTTACTATAAGATGAATACTTTCAGGACAATAAAAAAAGATGAATATTCTAGTAGGAAGCAGAGGATATGAACAGGCAACGCACAAAGGAAAAAATGGCCAATAATAACAGACAGATGATGTTCAAATTCATTAGCGTTAAAATGCAAATCAAAACGATTAGTTATACTTCTAGAAATCTTGGCCAATTTGACAGCTTAAAAAATGCTAATACTCTGTGTTTGGATAAAGATATAAAAAATAGACATCTTCAAACACTGCTGGTTGAAGAATAAGTTGGTACGTCTCTGGAATGCAACATGGCTATAGTGAGTAAAAGCCACCAAATAAGCGTATTATTTGACCAGTAATTCTCAATGTAGGCATATTCCCTGCTATAGTTTGGATATTTGACACCTCCAAATATGATGAAACTTGATCCATAATGTTGGAGTTGGGACCTAATGGGAGGTGTGTGGGTCATGGGGGTCGATCCCTCATGAATGGCATGGTGCTGTTCTCCTGGTAAGTGAGTTCTTCCTGTACTATCGTGAGAGAACTGGTTGTTAAAAAGAGCCTAGCACCTCCCCTTCCCTCGCCTTCTCTCTTGCTATGTGATCTCCGCACACGCCAGCTCCCCTTCCTCTTCCCTTTCCTCCATGAGTGAAGGCAGCGTAAGACCTTCATCACATGCACGTGCCAGCACTACGCTTCTCGTACAGCCTGCAGAACTGTGAGCCAAATAAACCTCTTTTCTTTATAAATTACCCAGCCTCAGGTAATTCACAGCAACACAAATGGATTAAGACACACCCCAAGGAAATAACTAAAGTTTTAAACAAACATTTGACCACAAAGATATTTATGACAGTTCTGTTTGTATTAGTAAAAGGTTAGAAAACAATCTTAATCATCAACAAGGATTTGGTTAAATACATGCTACAGCCACTCAATGGACTACTACACACTGACATTTTAAAAATATATTCGATGATTTATGATGTTCATAAGAGAAAAATAGCAAGTTACAAAACAGTATGTAGATCCCAATTTTGTAAAACAACATATGAATGCTTATGGGTATACCTGTATAGACTAGGACATTTACAGTAAGATAGTGTCATCAGTGGTAGTCTCAGGATGGGTGGGCTTGTGGGAATATTTTTTCCTTCTTTTTAACTTCAGTTTTCAGTTTTTTTCCTGAGATGAATAAATACTGCTTCGCTAAAATGAACAATCCCTAAAGTTATGTTTTAGTTTAAAAAAACCCTTGAATTTGTATTGTGTAAGGTCTTTACGAAGTACTTGGTATTGTCTGAAATGCAGTACTTGCTAATGGCTGACCAGCGTGGCGTTAGATTACTTTTATTAATTTGTTCCCCTAAGTTTCTTTACTAGCTCTGGCTGGTATGAACTGACATGGCTGCAAATGTAAGTTTTGTCAGATATCCAAAATGGCTGATATGCATGAAATGTTTCATGGAAAGTTTTAAAATCCCGATCATACTTATCACAAATGCAACTCAGGAAGCAAGAAGCTGGTAATTGACACCATTTGACGCATCACTTATTAAGTCCTCAGTATTACATAAACAGTTTACCAAGTTCTGATCACTTCCCCCACCCAAAAAAAAGCAAAGGAGAAAAATTTCCGGAATTTGACTGAAACTAAAAAATAAAAAACATTTTGATCCACCTTTCAATACTTAAAATGAGAAACTCATTCAAGGTAAGGCTGGCTAGTGTGAAAAGCATACAAAACCCAGAAAATGTAGAGAGAGACTAAAATCTGAACGGTGGGGAAAAGCATTAGTCTAGAGAGTCGAAAGATAAAATTGGCATAACCATAAGAAAACGAGCAGGCAGCTGACATAGGGTCCTAATCAAATCTCTTTCATCTGTTACTTAATTCTAACTGTAAAACCAACATAAACTGCAATCAGAGTATCAGGGTACTAGATATACTGGATACTAGGACAAGTTTCCCCAACTGTTGGGTCTTGCCAAACTTCTACCCTATTGGAGAGTGATATTTTGTAATAATACACAGAAATAAAAGCAACCCAAAATGCCACCTACCAGATGGCACTTTATTTTCCAACTTCGCATTTTCTTCTTGTGCTGGAAAATCCTCACACACGTCTGTGGTTTTTATTTCTTTTCTTTGCCGGATGGACATCATGATGTCAGACTTACATGCATCGTTCTTCCAACCACTCCTACAAGCAACACAGAAGTAAACGGCCCATCCACATGCGCCAGCACCCTCTCCCCAACAGTCTGTGCTCACCTGGGCTTAAGTGACTTGTCTGGTTTCCCCCATTAGCACGCCCCCCCCATTTTCCCATCCGTATCTTAACCAGCCTTCAAAGCTACACTCAAGACACAATACACATATTTATTTAACCCAATCATATTTATGAAGTGCCTGTTCCACAGCAGGCACTGCCAGGAGTGAGGAACATAGATGAGCAACACAGGCCGCTGCCCTTCTCCCAGGAAGCCTTCTTTCCTAGGATGCTCCGGCTACTCTGGTCTTTTCCCTCCCTGAGCTGTTACCATGCAATCTGTCAAATAATGACACAGTTTTATATTATTTTCTACAGTTCCACAGGCAGTCCTAGGTCTTCTCTATCTCCCAGAGAACCGACCTCGTGGGAGATACTCAACACCAAATTTGTTAACAATCAGACTTTGAAGAACTGAAATACTGTTTCGTCTTATGTATCTGAATTTCAATACCAGTGTTCTTTAAAACAATTCACACTGGGAGCCTCAGGAATGTGCCTCAGTGGTGATGACAGCACGGGTGTGCCAATCAGGGCAGCTGCCATGGCAGGGAGCAACAGTGGGAGTAACCGCAGGGAGCAGGAGCCTGGTTTGGAAGCAGCAAGTGGGAGGCGGGGGAGTGACGGCAGTGAGTAAGCGGGATGCAGTCCCCTGGAACATCTTGCTTCACTCCTCTGAATAACGAACAGCGTTTTTTACTAATTATTAAATATAACCAGTAGCCTTACATGATTGTTTCCACCGTTTATTAATTCCTAGTAATCAAAGGTAAACAACTTGCTCTATAGAACAGACCAACATAATACATTTCATTTATTCACTCATACAAAAAAAGTGAGAAAAACACAGTTAAGGGCTACGCCTTCAAGCACTGGAAATGGAGCAGCTGGAGCAGAGAGGAAGAAACGGAGTGTTCAGCAAAGTCGCACAGCCAGAGACGGCCTTACCCCCAAAGGGACCCAATCCTAGAGTCATGCCCTAATAGGCAGAAGAGTAGTTTTAAAAATCCCCCAATTCGTACATTCTAACATGTTAAGGCAGAAAGCCAAGACCCTGAAGTGTCACTTATGTGCCAGGCACTGCGACAGCTGCAAGAACTACGAAACAAAAGTTCTACATCAAATGGAAAAGAACGCCAGCTTAAAGGCTCGGAAAGGAACGCGAAAGCAATTCTTTGTAAGTAAGTTCTGTCCCGCACCTCCCCCGGGCGCCGCAGGGCCCGTTCCGCGTACCTGCGCGCCACACCCCCGGCACCCGTCTTCCCCCGCCCCCCAAACCCGCACCTGGCGTCCCCCCGGCACCTGTCTTCCCGCCCCACCTGAAGTCCCCACAGCACCCGGCGTCCCCCCAACACCTTGCGTCCCCGCTTACCTGCGCACCACACCCCCCAGCACCTGGCGTCCCCATCACACAGCACCCGAGCAGGCGGCGGCGGACAAGTGCGGCACTCGCTCCACCTCACCCACGACCGCGAGTGGCCGCGAGGAGGGAGCCCGGCCCTCCCGCTGCCCGCGCGGCCGCCTGAGGAGAAGTCGCTCCGCAAACTTCCCCGCGCCCGAGCCCGGCCCCGGCCCCCGACCCCGCATTCCGGGAGGACATCGCGCCCCGCCCCCCTCGGGGACGCCCAGAGCGCCGCGGCCGCGCCCCCCGACTGCGCCACGCGGCGGGGCGGGGCGGCCCGAGGGGCTCTCGGCTGTCACCGCGGGTTTGCGAGCCGCCGCTAGGCAGGCACAGCGCCCGCCCGCCCCGCCAGACCCTCGAGGGCCCGCCGCGGAAGCCCGGCGCCCACGCGTCCCCGCGCGCTGCCCGCGGCCCGCCCCGCAGCCACAGACCTGCGGCCTCAGCCGTCCTCACGCGCGGTCCGGGCGGGGCGGGGCCGCAACGCGCCGCGCGGAAGGGAAGCCGGGCAGCGGCGGAGCTTCGCGCACCGCCCTGGGAATGCGGGGCTGGGGGCGTCAGCTGCCCCGGGGAAGGGGCGCGCCAGGGAGGCCGGAACGCCACGGCCGTACCCATAGGGCCCGGGAGCCGTCCGTCAACGAGAGCCCCGCCTCCTCCCGCGGCGCCCCGCCCCGTCTCGTGCGGCGCTGGCCGGAAGGAAGCGGCATACTTCCGTTTGCTGCGTCCGGGTCGCTCTCGGGGGCCTGAGAGCCAGGCTCCCGCGCTGCTTCCGCGGCCCGCGTAAAGCCGGTGCCTGCGGTCCTGGGCCGGAGCGAGCAAAGCCGGCTCGAGGAGGGCCCCGGCGCAGCCCCAAGCGCTCGAGAGCAGTGTGCCTGGGGCGGCAGAGCGGGCTGTTCTTTCCAAAGTGCTTCTCCCTGTCGTTCCCTCGTGTGCCCCTGGGCCGAGTGTTGCGAAGGGTTCGGTAAGGGCGGGCGTGAGGAACGGAAACAGGCCACTTGGACTCGTTCCAGCATCTGCGCTGCACGGCCTGGCGCGCCCCTTCCCTGGGTTCCGGCGGTCACCCCCAGCGTCCCGTTGCCATGGATCTGTGCTTGGAAGTCACTTGCTAACTGCCAGCGAGAGTACGCACAGAGACACTTCTGCATCTCCGAAGACTCTGTGTTCTCAGTCTCGTAGGTTACTCCGTCTCCAAACTAAATTGGCAGCCTTTCTTTTGAGGGCAGGTACTGTGCTTTCTAGCTAGTTTTCTTAATCTCTTTGAAAAACAGTAGGTAAAACCTTTTACTTGTCAGCACGTACTCAAACTACATGTTAATTGATTTTTGTTAAAGGAATGGCTCTTTGAGACCTCCACCTGTGAAATGGCGGCTTATTATTGGTTTAATTCCAACACTAAATTATTCCATCTAGGAAGCCTTTCCTAGTCACCCCTGCTGGACGTTTTTCTCCTCTGTGTCCGTTGCTGTTAACAAGCACAACAGTCTGTGCAAATGGATAAAAATAAATGTCAGCTGTTTTTTTGTTGATGTCTTCTCTCATATGGACTTCAAGGCAGGGCTGAATACTTACAGTCTTTCTCCTTCACGTTAAAATGGATAATGCGTATAAGCCTTTGCCCCCACTTCTGAGCATATGAGCACGGAGTCAGGGAGGGACCATAAAAGGATTCAGCTCTGGTAACGGACTGTGCAGTGGTGTCCAGGAATACTTGTGTGCAGCATGTTTGGAAGCCCAGATAGACCCCCTGGCTTTTTCTCTGCTGAGCTGTGCAACTCAAAGTGTGGTGTGGGGATCTGTAGTGTCACTATCACCATCACCTGGGAGCTTGTTAGAAATGCAAATCATGAGGTCCTACCCCAGAGCTACTGAATCAGAATCCGGAGGGGCAAGGCCTCCTAATCTGTTAGATTGTGTGCTCAGTAAAGTTTGAGAAGCACAGCAGAACCTTGCTGCTCAAAATGTGGTATGTGGTCTAGCAGCTTGGGCATAACCTGGGATCTTAGAAATGCAGGGTCTCAGGCTGTACCCAAGATCATATTAAGAGGATCTTAATATGATCCCCAGGTGACTTGTATGTACATTATGCTTTGAGAAGCACTGCACTCAATCATCACATCCTTCCTGTAGAAGTATCTTGTCTTGGGGACTGAGGGTGAGAGCTGTCCTGTTCTATTGGCTCTCTTCCTATTTGGTACACAATGCTCATTTCTAAATTGCTTTACTTAGCAGTATGAACATGCTCCATCCTTCCTGCCTTCTGTGACAACAGACTCTGGGTGTTTCTTCTGTCTACCTTTCTGGCATTCCTTTTTAAGTCTCCTGCAGCTCCCCTTGCTCTTAAAAATCAATGATTTCTCTGACCCATTGCTGCAGTTTCCACTGACAATCTTCGATAAGTTTTTACGTCCAGGCATATCTCCTGATTTCAAGGTCCCGTATGTTCAAGCACCTCAAACTCAACATGTTGAACTTTCTCTAATACCCAAACCTCTTCCTTCCATGTGTTCCTTTTAACTAATTGCTCAAATCAGAACCCTATGAGCCAGCCTTGATTCCTCCCTATTGTGTAATCCACATATCCAATCAAACATTGAGACCTGTTGCATTCATCTCCTAAATTATCTCAGAACTTTCCCACTTTTCTCCATCCGCATTGCCACCACCATAGTCCAAGTTGCCGTTTCTTGTCAGGACTCTTTCAGTAACCTTCTGACTTCCTTACCTCCATTCCTGTTCTCTGTCCTTGTTCCTTCCATCCATCCTCCATGTAATAACCAGAGTGCTCTTACTAAAATATAAATCCTTCTGTGGCTTAGGACTTTATTATAAAAATTAAGCTCCTTAACACAGCTTGCAGGGACTGTTTACCTCTTCATCTTTACTTCCTGTTCACAAAACTTTCAAAGTTTTGTCCCAAGATTTATAAAAAGTGGTTCTTTCATTCGCTTCACCTAACTAGCTACTATTTAGCCTTTAGCTCTCAGCTCTAATGATCCTTACTGTTTGGTATTCATACCCTCATCTCACTGAACAGTGGCTCTTCTGTGTGATTGACGGGTACTGTGGCAGTGACGGTGTGGCACTTCTGAGCCTAGGTTGCAAAAGACGTCCCATTTTCAGCCGTAGCCTCTCTTGGATGGCTCCCTTAGGGGGATGCCAGCCACCATGCTGTGCGGACACTCAAACGGCCTGTGGAAGGCGGCCACGTGGGCAGCAACTGGCCCCTGGCCAACAACCCACACCAACTTGCCAGCTTTGGGAGTGAGCCATCTTGGAAGTAGATCCTGCAGCAGGAAGTGACGGGAAAGTCAGCCTTCAGATGTCATGAGAGATCCTGGGCCAGAACTGCCCGTTTATGCCACGCCCAATTATTTGACACACAGAGACTGTGAAGATAATAAATGTTTATTGTTGTTTTAAGCCACTAAATTTTGGGGGTAATTTTGTTATACGATAGATAATCAATATAATAATCCCCCATATGGATGTGCTATTTATTTATTCCCATCTAATTGGACATTTAGGT